CTTTTAAGGATTAGATAAGAGCTCCCAAATACTTTTTGACATTTTTGGCCTTTGGAACAGAGTATGTTGCTAAGAGGCCCAAGGACATTTTGATAGCCAAGAAACTGGCTACTTTTCTTTAGGGTCTTTTTATACTAACTACCTAGCCAATTCCTACCTTTTTTTGTGGGGGGGGGACTTTTTGAGACAGGTTATTTTATTTTTTTCGCTAGCCTGGAACTCACTATGTAGACCAGGCTGGCAATGAACTCACGGAGATCCATCTGCTTCTGCCTCCTGAGTGCTGGGATCAAAGGTGTGCGCTGCCTCCACCAGCACGCCCAGCCTTTTTTTTTTTTTAAATAAATAATTTATCTGGACTCTGAATCTAGCTTACCTCCTATTCTTATCACACCATCCTCTGAAGAGGTGACCCAGCTTGTGGATAGGGAATCTGGATGCAGACCGCTCTGGCTTCTTCCATGCTGAACAGGGTTACAGGGTAAGGCAACTGGGGTACCCTGGCTCCTTCAGTGGGTCTATCTAAAAGACTCCCAAAGTGCATAACTCTTATCTATAGGGGGAAAAGAAAGTCCTTGACTGGTGACTAGGAGATGTGAAGGAGAAGTAAAGGCAAGAGTAATTAGCATTACCAGTTCTAGACAGGGAACTAGAAAACAGAACAGGGTAAATTTCAAATGTTCATGTGAGAGTTCGTTGGAATTTCTTGATGAGAGCTTCCAAAACCATCCCTCTATTGGGTTCCTCCTCATTTTTCTTTTGTTTGCCAAGGCTGAACTCGAGATTGTTAGATTCAGGATCTGCTTTCAGGTATTTGGATTACTATTGGAGTGGTTAGACTCAGTGTCAGTTCCCTCTCAAAAGCTTCTAGATAGGGGGAGAAAATAAATTTACCCATAATTTTAGAACAATAGCATCCTCCTATTTTTCTTTTGTCTGCCAAGGCTGGACTCAAGAGTGATGGATTCAGGATTTGCTTTCAGGCATTTTGATAGCACCATGTTGAGGCAGGATCAGCCCCTGTGCCAGAGAGAGGTGGGAACAGGCACTCTCTGATGGTCTGCTGAGATCCCAGCTGCTACACAGATCAGGTCAGAACCCACCCTCCCCAAATGATATTTTTGTATACGGAAGCTTGAGAGCTAGTGTTTGGCTGCAGGTGTATCTGGTGCTCAGGCAGATGTTTTGCCATCCAGGAAGCAGATACCAACCTCAGTGTTGGTTATCTCTACCGTATTTACACAGCTTGTAGGAAGCTGAATGGGATGGAATGAAGAGAATTCTTAGGTGGAATTTACTTTCCTTTCTGGAAAGAGATATGTTCCTCAGTATCTTCCTTAAGAATATAATGACATAATTTGAACAATCATCTTTGCATATGTATGTTATCTCCTAAGGTTTATTTAAAAGTCCAACACCTTGGCACCTAAATGAACAAAGGGAAACAGGAACTGAATGAGTATATCTAACTTTCCTGTTGCTAGTCA